CCCCAAAACCCCAAAACCCCAAAACCCCAAAACCCCAAAATATTCGATCTTAATTGTGAAATTATAAATGTCAAAATCATTGATAAAACCTAAGAGCAATAAAGAAAGATCTAGAGCTCACCGACAGCGCAAGAAGAAGTTTATCGAAGAGAAACTAGCCCAAGTTGAAACCCTCGAACAAAAAGTAGAACTCCTCACAAAAGAAAATGAAGAACTCAAGCAAGAGATTAAGAGACTTAAAGCCAAAGGAGAATACGCAAAGGATAATAAAAGGGACACACTGAAAGAATATGAGGATTATCTTTATAATAAGGTGTTTAAGAAGTTACAGAATAATCCTGAGCAAGTCAGGTATACCGAATTAGAGCAGAGCTTGAGTAGGATCCATGATTGGAGGTAAGAATGAAAGGTCATGTGTAGTGATGATAGAATTGAGGTTGTGAAGAAGGCTTTTAGAGGTTAGGTTTTGTCTGAATTTTTAGATATTTTGGATAATATAACAAGCCTTCAAACCAAGTGCCATCAGGCTTGTAATATAAACATGCCAATCAACAAATTCATCCAAAAACAAAGTTCAAAATAAACGCCTTAAAAAGTACTATTCAAAATCCTCCCACCTAGAACCCACCCAAGATTTCTACGCTGGAATCCAGTACAGTGACAACGTAGTCGACTTCATTAAGAGAAATGCAAAGTTTTGTAATAACTATATGAGGCAGATTAAGAAAATGTAAGTGCAGGTTTTGGGGAGGGGTTAAGGAAGGAGGATTGGGGATGGGAGGTTGGAGGGTGGAGAGATTGTAGTTGAGGTGGATTATAGAGCTAATACTTTGGTCAAGCAGAGGAATAAGTTGTTGAATTTGTACCAAGATCATAGAGTGGTGATGGAAGATTCGGATTTTAATGAGACGTTCTCTAAAGAAGATTTTATTAATGCGTTTAAGATAGTTGACAAGCTTCAAAATACTGAATTTTTGAAACCCCATTTTCTGTTCAACATTCCGAAAAAGACACATTCAAATCTAAAATATGAAGATGGAGAACTGACAGAATAAGAAATAATAATTTCAATACCACAAACTTAACTCGGGGTTTTGGGGTTTTGGGGTTTTGGGG